GGCGCATAGTAGACATTTTAGTTCTTTCTTGGATGCATAACTTTACAAGTCATTTTTATACACTCATGTAAAAGAAAATTAACAATCTTTTTAAGGGAGTAGATAGGGGTGCTCTCCGTGCAGCAAATGGATAGATTTCCACGTGAAAGCAACCTAGTAATTACTGCCATATAAATAACAGTAATTAATGACTGTAATTTAATTAATACTGGTTATAACTGTTATTGTTAATAAATTACTGATTGTTACTGTTATTTAATAATTATTGATTATTACAGTAATTTAATAAATATATAATTAGTGATTATAATTAATATTTATTGTTATTATAAATATTGTTAATAATTAGATATTTACTTTAAAATTATAAATATTGTTATTAAAAAATACTGTTAATAAATTACTGATTATTATAGTAATTTAATAAATATATAATTAGTGATTATAATTAATAATTACTGTTATTATAAATATTGTTAATAAATAGATATTGACTTTAATTTTGCTTTAAATTAAAATTATAAAATAATTAAAGTAATTAATGTTATATTAAAAAAAGTTAAAAATGTTATTAAAAGTATTGTTATTGATTATTTAATAAAATATTATAATTACTGACTATTATTGATAAATACTGTTAATTTAATTTAATTTTGGTAATTATTAATTTAATAAATATTGTTAATAAATCCTATTCATAAATTTAATATTTACTGTTATATTAAAAATAACTAAATAATGTTATTAAAACTATCATTAATGATTATTTAATTAAATGATATCATTACTTACTATATTGATAAATGTTGTTAATAACGTTCTAACAATCGACGTTCAAACGGATGGCTCATTCTGACAACAAAAATTACAAGTAAAAAATTACGAAACCGTTCTGGCCACCGATTTTCGGGTTGATGGTTTGATCATCCGGTTCGAATGGACGGTCTGTTCTGACAACAAAAATTATAGGCAAAAAATTGAGTTTGTGAGGTCTATTAAGTAGTATCATACGTGTTATGTCATTCGAGCGTGTGACTCATACGACCTGAAAACGAAACCGTTTAGGCCACCAGTTTTTGGGTCGACGATTCAACCATTTCGGTTCGAATGGGCTGCTCATTCTGACAACAAAAAATTACAAGCAAAAAATTATGAAACCGTTTTGGCCATCGGTTTTCAAGTCGACGATTCGAACGGATGACCCATTTTGACAACAAAAATTATAGGCAAAAAATTGAGTGTGTGAGGTCCATTAAGCAGTATCATATGTGTTATGTCATTCGAGCGTGTGACTCATATGGCCCAAAAATGGTTTGGCCGTCTGGTTCGAACGAACGACCCGTTCTAACAACAAAAATTAAAAATAAAAAATAAAAAACAGCCAAAAACCATTGAACGAGTCAACAGAGTTTGACCACTTGGGTCAATGGGTCATTAACCGATTCAACGATTTTTGGCCAGGGACCAGGATTGGGGTAAAACGGAACTAGTTGCCTGGAAGGTTTCCAATTAAAAAATAAAAAAACGGACGACCCGTTCTGACAAAAAAACTACAGGCAAAAAATTGAGTGTGTGAGGTCCATTAAGCAATACCATACGTGTTATGTCATTTGAGCGTGTGACTCATACGACCTGAAAACGGGATCGTTCTGGCCACCGGTTTTTGGGTTAACGGTTCGATTGTTCAGTTAGAATGGATGGCCCATTTTGACAACAAAAAAAAGACCAAAAACCATTGAATGGGTCAATGGTTCAACCACCTGGGTTAATGGGTTGTTGACCGATTCAACGATTTTTGGCCTGGGATCAAGATTAGGATAAAATGGAACCAGTTACTTGGATGGTTCCCAATTAAAAAAAATAAAAAAATGGCCAAAAACCATTGAACGGGTCAATGGGTCGATGGTTCAATTGTTCGGTTTGGATGGCCCGTTCTAATAACAAAAATAAAAAAAATAAAAAAAAATGACTGAAAACCATTGAATGGGTCAATGGTTCAACTGCCTGGGTCAATGGGTTGTTGACTGATTCAGCGATTTTTTGCCAGGGACCGAGATTAGGATAAAATGGAACTGATTGGATGGTTCCCAATTAAAAAATAAATAAAAAAACAGCCAAAAACCATTGAATGGGTCAATGGGTCGATAGTTTAACTGCTCGGGTTAATGGGTCGTTGACTGATAACGATTCAATGGTTTTTGGCCTAGGATTGGGTCAACGGGTCAACAGGTTGACAATTTAACTGCTCAGGTTAATAGGTCATTGAGCGATAACGATTCAATGGTTTTTGGGAAACAGGGCCCCTCTCCTAGCTTAGACTTACACCCGATAAGACTAAGTTTGGAAGCAGTAAAAATGCAAATATGTAGAGTTGAAAACCTTATATTTTGTATGTATTTACGTTTTACATATTTGCATTTGTATGCTTTTAAATTGAGCCTAACGTTTTGTTGAAAAGTTTGGAGGAAGGACCCCACCCAAACTCCGCCCTTTGTATTGATAAAATGGTTGAATTATTGACCCACAAACTCGAAACAAAAATGGTTCCGTTTCTTTTTAAAACACTAATCTCAAGTGGCTAAAAAATTAAATAAGAAAAAATCAAATTAGACTTTATTCCTCACAGCATATTGCAGCCGTGTATTTGGAATCTCTCTATGAAAGACCATGTTCCCAAAGTAAGGCCCCAAGTGGTGTGAGGTTAGAGCAAATCTAGAGTCAAAATAAATAAATAATTCATTGCATAAAATACATTTTTTTTTGTGCGTCATGATTTTAAACCTCGATGACTAAACAAGATATAACTTCCACATCAATAAACATATATTGTTGTCGTTTACATGGCAATTGTGTTTATATGGTATTTGGTATGATTTTCATTTATTTAAAAATGTTATTTGATAAACTGTTTATTAAATAAATATTTGTCTGGATTTATGTATGAACCAACTGTTGGAAAAAGTTATTTTAACATTTCTCTAACACTAATTTACTGTTCTACTTTCTGGCACTTAATGGCCTCTAATGGCGCATAACTTGTCAATCGTAGTTTTGGGAAATAGAAACGTTTTTCAAAACATCACCTTAGTTTTGGGAAATAGAAACAAAACCATCCCCACTCTCCTACACCACCAACCCGAAAGTACGATTATCGTTTGGCTGTTTGAGAAAAACTACGTGGTCTGTTTTGAAGCTTTGTATGCATTATACGTTCGGCTGTTTATTCCAAACAGCTAAGCCGATCCCCCGTCAAAATGGACGGAAAGTTCAAATAGAGACAGAAGAATTAGAAAAGAATGGGATTCATTCGAAAAACGCAAGAGCCAGAGTAACGGCGGTGACTGAACGCTGCTCCGCTCAATCGAAGGTAGGTAGGTGGTGGACTCCTCTCTTCTCCTTACTTCTTTCTTCCTCTCCTCTTCCTTCCTCCTCTCTTCTCTGTTTACTGCACAAAGTCTAAGGCAAGCCCGTGCAGTCTGGAACACATCAATGCTGCATTCTTCCTTGAACTAACTTTGCTACAAAGTGCTTGAACAAAACTTCATCAAAATCTCTGCCACCAAGAGATCTGAGATCTATCAAAGGCATGGGTAAAGTTTTTTCTGCTTGATGCCTGCAATGCATACTCGCATGCTTGCATGGCCAACGTCTACCAAAGCAACATTTAATTGATCATTCTCAGGTAAGTCCTTCTCGTAAATCCCCAGGCTAAAGCTGTCTTGGCTGTTTCGTGAATCCACCGGAGAGGATGCAAACCAACAATTGTCGTTGCACCCATGACAGCTCTTCTTTGAAAATCCGTGAAAAAAAACTTGGATCCCGAGAAAACAATCATCGACAACTGCTGCATTCAGTTTCTTTTCTGCTATGTTCTTGAGGTTGGGGAGCCGCATTCCTAGAAGTTGTGTAGGTGTGAAAACCCTAGGTTCCCCTAAATACCGCGCGTGGATTAATGGATACCCATCAGGCTTTTTCACTGACAGTAAAAGGCAGGACCTTGACTCCTTGAGGTCATGTTGAAGTTCAGGATCATAGAACTGACTATCAGTCAATTGCTTTATCTGGGATATTGAGCTTTTGGGGGTTCATCGTAGTTGAGGTGGCTCCATCTGTTGCAATGAGCCTCTGCTTCTCAAAGAAACAAGATCTCGTCTTTCCCCTAATGAACTAGTGTTTTTGATTGGAACTACTGGAGCCAGAACATTAAAATTTCGGGGTTATTAGCATCAACGAAACATAAGGTAAAATAAAGTAGAATTCAATTACAAAATTGAAAACAATTCTTACTGTTAGGGTGGTTGATTTCCACAATTGGTCGGCCAGAGTGGTGAGGGAAGACAGCAGCAATGGGTGGGGTTGGAAGACGTTGCAGGATCCATCCCATCATTGTCGCCGTATCCATGGGTAACGTTATCGTCATCGTCTACTCAGCTGTCGGTTTGCCTTTATGTCATGGAGCTAGGGTTTTGTTACAACAACGAAGGCATGCAAGTTTTTAAGAACTATGATTCGACATTTTTGTTCTGCCCAACAAGTAGGAAGGTAGTTTGGTGTCATTGTTTTATGTCTTGAGGATCTGGCTTTGGTTCCTTGCATGCAGTTATATGAAGCTTTGAGCTTTGTGATTGAAAAGAAACCTGTTATTTTTCTATTGGGTTCCTGAGAACTTTTTCATTGGTTTACCATATGAGAATACTATCGAGGTCAATCATAGTAGAAATGATAGTTTACTTTAGAAAATTCATACTAAGCTTGAGCCTAATCCATGCCTTGCTCAGTTCAATGAGATGTGATCAAGAGAAAGTGAAAATCTTTTGTTTCAATCATCTAATGATCTAGATGAATTCTTGTTTTAAGTTAAAAATCTAACCTCCGTTTTAGTTTCAGTGCTTCATTCATTTATTTAGTACTTCCAGTGCTTAACTCATTGCTTCTCTTTCATCTTTTTTTTTTTTTTTTGGGGGGGGGGGGTGTAATTTAGTTCTACTTTGTTTTTACTTTTTGTTTCATTGATACTAATAACCCCAAAATTTTACAAGTGAAAAAACTGATGAGATGCAGATAAAGATGTTGGTCCTGCAACTATCTATGGATTGAATGCTGAAAAGTTTAACCTCTGTGTGAGCAAGCAATATCGGGGAAGGTGAAACTTGTTTCAGTTCTATTGTCTTGCAAACTAGATTCAGTCAGCGCCAGGTTTTGACTTTATACAAAATGAACCAATTCTTAGAAGGTCATTTTTTACCACAAAAGAGCAAAACTGGGTTTTTTGCTCTTTTGGAAAGCTACAATGCATGCTGTCTTGTGGAGCATTTGGGAAGAGAGAAATAGAAAAATGTTTGATAACAAAATCTTCTCCTTGGGATGTTCTCAAAAACAGGGTTTGTGTTTTCTGTTTTCTTGGATGAGCGCACATAAGACCTTTGAAGGAGTAAGATTTGGCAACCTGAGTAGATGCTGGCAGGATTATTTGTTTACCTCCCCTGCGGATTTCTCCTCTTATACTCTTCCTTCCAGATAGGCTAGTTATTTTGTCCTTCAATTTGATGGTAACTTCAAGAGGAAGTCATTCTCTCAGCCAGCTGCTGCTATTGGTGGGATATTCTACAGTTCTAGAGGGGATTTTTGCTTGGATTTTAGTGGCCCGATTACAGCTGAGGATGCTTCGGAAGCTTGAAATTCATGCCCTCCTTCAAGGATTAAGACTTGCAAAGGTTCTCCATTTCAGTTCACTTACAGTGGAAGGTGATTCTAAAACTGCCATCAATTGGGCTAAAGAACAGAGTTCGGGCCCTTGGAGACTGTCCAGCATCTTATATGAGATCTTTGAGTTATCTTCTTCTTTATCCTGCAACTTCTGATGGATCCCAAGAAATCTAAATTTTTAGGCTGATGGTTTAGCAAAGTCTTGTTTGGGAAGGGATTTTTTGTATAGTGCAAACACAATGCCTAACTAGTCTTGCCTCTTTCTTTTTGTCTTTGGGGCTTATACATCCTCTCATGTACACCCTTCCTCTTTTTCTTTTTTTGCGATTAATACCAAGTTATTCTACCAAAAAAAAGGCAAGTGATATCACATGTGGACAGAATGTGATGGACCACTAACAGAGGGGTAGTATTTGTACTGTGACATCACTCAACCAGGGTACTTAAAGTCATTTTAGAAACCATAGCAGTGGTTTAAGTATTTGTCAGAAATCACAAGGGTAGTTAAGTATTTAACCCTACATAATATACATATGTATGTATTATGTAATATCTTATATTATATAACTTATATAATATATGCTATACTTGATATACTATTCTATATATCTATGATACCAGAAAAGTATGATTATTGATACTAGAGTGCTTTGACAAATCAATACCCCCAGTGAATTTTGATGAATATCAGCTGATTTATTACCACCTGTATGATATCTGTTGATTGGTTGTAAGTTGCTTTTTTTTTTAATTTTTATTTTTTTTCAAGGTATCATGCCTTTCTAATATCAGAAGGTCATTACCCAATGTTGGTCCTGACCGTCTGGGGTCTTGGGAGGGGTAGACTGGATATCATCCTAACCTTCTGCATTTATTATTATTATTATTATTTTGCAAAAAGTGGTTGCTTTCAGAGTCAAACCCATGCGCTCATGCTTGTCAGCCTGAGATTTTACCATTACACCAAGTAATGACCACTATGCCTTTCCAGCCCATGATCATCCCTACTACCAGTATTATGTTTAGTAAAGCTTTGTAGACCATCTTTTGGTCTTGTGAAGGACCCAAAGTTTAAAAAATTGTCTTTTATCATTTGGTATCATGAAGAACAAAAGAGTGAAAAACATGCTTCTGAGTAGGGATGCAACTTGGGTGGGCCCAACCTGAGCCTGACCTAACCCATGCAAAAAGGGGTTAGGCTTGAGTTTTCAAGCTCCAGTCTAGGATTGGGTTGAGGTCTCGAGTAGCCTGACTGGCATTGTATGACAGATGTGTATATTGTGTATTTATGACATGCATGTAAGCATGTATATATATATCTATTATTTTTTATCAGCAAGAAATTTTTATTAATAAAGTAGCAAAAGTTACAATCAGTTACAAAAGTTATAGGTAGCAGAAAATACTAATCTAATCTGCACCAACAAACAGCCAGTTACAGTTCTGCCTAGTACAATGTAGATCTATTTGCCCCTTGTTTTGCTAGGGTATCCGCCATCCCATTTTCCATCCGTTTGACCCAACCAAACTGAGAGTTGATCCTCCTTGTAAGTTTGTCAATTTCTCTAAAGATAAATTTGAGCTTCCAAGGTACTGAAGTGATGTTTTTATCCCAAGAAATGACCATTAATGAGTGTCCTTCTATTTCTAAGTCTGTTATTCCTGTCTGCTCAGCCATCTTTAGACCTTGAAGTAGGGCTAGAGATTCAGCCTGTATCGAGTCACCAATACCTATTGGTCCTGAGAAGAGTGCCACCACCACACCCTGATGATTTCTAATCACATCCCCTATGCCTGTCCTTCCTGGGTTACCAAAAGAACTCCCATCAAAATTTAGTTTTAGTTTGTTTAGTGCCAGTGGCTTCCATTCCTCACTCACAATTACTTTGGGTGCATCTGTTAGTGCTACTTCAACCCAACTTTTTAAAATCTCATTTGTGGAGAAATTTTTGAATAGCTCCATGGTCTTCACCCAATGTGCAGTTTTGATTTTTATGGTTCAATCACTTCCTCCTTTGATTTACTTTTTTCAAAGAAAATTCTTTAGTTTCTTTCCTCCCATATAGTCCATACTGTAGTTGTTCTTGCTGCCTTCCATAAGCATTTTCCTCTTTTCTTCTGTTGTCTTAGGAAGGAGGGGCTGAAAAGACTTGCCACATCCTGTGGGAGAGCCCATCTGCATCCAAAGAGAGAACAAACAACATTCCAAATACCAAAAACAAAGGAGCAAGATAAAAGTAAATGGGGTAGGGTTTCACCACAATCCAAACAAAGGACACACACATGAGGAGAGAGGCATTTATTTAGCCTCCTTTTCTGTAGCACTTCACAAGTGTTTACCTTCCCTAAGAACACTTCCCAATAGAAAGCTTGTACTTTTGGAGGGATTGATTTACACCATATTTCTTTCACAGGGAAGTTCACCCCCATAGGGTCAGAGTGAGTGAACAAACCAAAGAAAGATGCACAAGAAAATAAACCATCAGGAGTTGGGGACCAAACTCTACCATTAGCTATAGATTGGTCTAAGTAGACCCTCTTAAGTGTTGAGATTAAAAGCACTAGAGACTCACATTCATTTTCCCTCAATCCTCTTCTGAACCCAAAATCCCAAGAGATACCCAAGTCTGGGAGCAAACCAAACCAAGCAACATGTTTGTTTTTAAGGTTTGATAAAGAGTAGAGATCCGGGATTTAACCATAAGAGGCACATCCCTAGCCCAAAGGTCTTCTCAGAATAAGACTTTATTGCCACATCCAACATCAAATCTAATAATTTGAAGAAAGGTTGGTAATACCTCATAGATTGCCTTCCAAGGAAAGTTTGGAGCTGCATTGGAGGCTAGTTTTGCATCCCAACCGTTAACTGCTTCACCATGAATGATTTTAATGACCCTATGCCACAACCTATCTTCTTCACAAGGGAATCTCCACAGCCTTTTCCCTAGAAGGGCCTTATTTTTCTTTAATAAGTTCCCTATACCTAGGCCACGATTTTATCAAGGTGATTCTTCCCCCCAAGGAAATATAATTTCACTTCCACATTGCCAACTTCTTTGTGAATCTCTCTAACACTGGCTTCCAGAAGCTTTCAGCTTTCGGATTCCCCCCCAAGGGCATACCTAAGTATTATAGAGGCCAGCTTTTCACTTCACAGCCTAGCAAATTTGCCGATGCTTGGATGTCCCCCTCCCCCATGTTTATTCCAGCTACACAACTTTTTCCCCAATTCACTTTCAGTTTGGAGGCCTTTTGAAACTTATCCACCAATCTTTTCAGGTTCCTTACACTGGATTCATCCAAACTTTCACAGAAAATGATTATATCATCAGCAAATTGCAAGTGAGACACCACCACTTCTGATCTACCCATCCTCCAACCTTTAAACTGGTTATCTTGGTCAGCCTTGGTGATTTGTCTACTTAAGACCTCAGCCACAAAAGTGAATAAGAATGGGGATAAAGGATCACCCTGTCTGAGTCGTCTTTTAGCCTGGAAGAAATACTTTGCTACCCCATTCATCAGAATAGAAAAATGTGCCGAGCAAATACATTCTTTAATCCACATCCTCCATCTTTCACCTAACCCCATTTTTTCCATTAGATTCAACAGGAAGGACCAATCCACCATATCATAAGCTTTTTCTAGGTCCAATTTACAAATCAAACCTTTGCCACCTTGTTTTTTCTTAGCTACCACACATTCATTTGCCACTAAGATTTGATCCACAATTTGTCTGCCTTCTACAAAAGCTCCTTGGTTCCGAGATATAATATAGGGCAAGACAGTCTTCAACCTACCAGTTAGGACTTTAGCAATGATCTTATACAAGCTACCCACAAGACTTATTAGTATGTAATCCTTCGGGGTTTTAGCCTCCTTCTTTCGTGGCACTAAAGCAATAAAAGTTGCATTTGCTCCAGGTGATTACTTCCCTTTTTGATAGAACTCCACAAATACATCCGTTAATTCATCTTTCAAGATTTCCCAGCAGTCCTGATAGAAAGCCATTGAAAATCCATCCGGTCCTGGAACTTTAGATCTATCCGTCGAGAAAATTGCTTCGTGTACCTCCTCTACACTGAAAGCTCTTTCTAGGAAGGTTGCTTCGGATTCTGGCACTCTTACCCACTGTAATTCTCCTAATTCTCCTAATTCTGCATTGCTTTCCTCAGAGGAGGCAAGGATTGACTTGAAGTGATCCACAAAGCACCTTTCAGTTTCCTCCTCTGAATTTACTACTCTTCCCTCCACCTCTATGCTGGAGATTTGGTTTTTCTGTCTTCTCCCGTTTGCTAGGGAGTGGAAAAATCTGTATTTCCATCCCCCTCCAGAAGCCATTTACACCCTAAACTATATTTCATTATTTACATTATGCATATGATTAGCCTAAACTCAAACCCATACATAATGTATATATGTATAAAATATTTATATATGCATTTATCAATGACATTTATGCATATTGCAATCCATTCCACTCCTAAAATAGGTTATAAAGCCCAACAAAAAATATTCAAAAATACTTTAAAGAACTGACCAAGCTTTGCAGCTCTGACCAACCTGCCCAATCCCAGCCCAAATTTTGTTGAGTTAAAAATGTTACCTCAAATTAAAAATGTTGTTGAACACCTACTCAATCTGGAGGCTTTGTCGTTGTTTGACCCCATTACTACTCTCTTTGTCCACGTCTGTGATGTGTTGTTAATTCCACCATCTTGTCCGTCTCTGTTTCTCTCAGACATGGCAGCAAAGCAGATGGAAGAGATACAGAGGAAATTAGCAATGCTGAACTACCCAAGAGCAAATGCTCCTGCACAGTCTCTCCTTTTTGCTGGCATGGAGAGATACGCTCTCCTTGAATGGCTCTTTTTCAGGTCTCTCTCTCTCTCTCTCTCCATTTCTGTATCTTACTTTCTTTTGATGGTTCTATAGATTCTTTTGTGATTTGATCTTAGAAGATTGAAGTAATTGATTTTGTAAAATCATCAATTCTTCATTTTTCATGTTGGTTTTCGTAATTTCTATTGAAATTTTATGCAATTTTACTATTTCTTACTAAATGTTTTTGGACGGAAGCTCCATAATGCACCTTCATCAATTCATTTGTCTTTTGTTGGAAATGTTCATTGAATGGCTCTAATTGAGGGGAAGTAATAAAAAGAAATTCATGCTCTGGATATGGTGAGTGCTGCATTTAGACAATTAGGGTCTGATGTTTCCTTGGAATAGGCAGATGAAATGATCATGAAATCTATGCATCATGTGACTTCCATAAATGATAATTGAAAATGTAAAATTTAATAGAAATATTGAAACCACACACCTTAAACTCTATTTCAAGCAACTGCCTACTTTTTGGGAATGTTAATAATGACACATAGAGGACTTGAGTTAGATCAACGCCTGGATAACCTGAGTATTTTAGTCAAAGACATAGCAGGAAGAGTCAAACAGCCATCCAACTGGATACATGTAGCTTTGAGATGCCTGAGATTTTATCTCTATTATCATCTTTATCACTATTACAGCTATTTAATGATTTTTGATACTCAGATGCGGTTTGATGTTTGGCATCTCTTTAAGTCTTGGCCCTTTTAGATATGCATCTTTGGCTGGTTGTATACTCACTGCAATGTGGAAGAAATACCATACCTGACCATACTTCTCCTTTACCTGTTTTTTTGTTTTCTCTTGGTGGTGGGGAAGAGATCAGAAGCTATGATTCTTTTGATTTTATGTCCTTTAACAAATCTTTACTTTCTTTAATGAGAATATGCTGTAAAATTTCAAATTTAATCTTTTACAGGCTCTTAGGTGATAAGTCACCTTTCTCACAGCAAAGTTCACAAGGAGATGGCATGGATCGTGATGAAGAAACAGGTCGGATCCAATGTAAGTTTCTGCACCCATCATCTTGTTTCCTGATTGGTTTCTGTAGATAGTGCAGCAATCTAATCATTCTGAAGAACAAAGGCATGGGCATGATGATGTCCAATTGTTATGTGTTTAAAATTTGTACTTAGAGATGGTTCTCATTCCATGGGATTATTATAGAGTGTAAGCCATATTCCATTAGTTCCATACTTATATTGTAAAAAAAAAAAAAACAGAGATAATCTTAGAACTTAATCCTAACATGATAAAATTTTCTCCTTTAGTCTTATCTGGACATTTAAAAGTAAGAGCTGTATTCATGTTTGGAATTGTTCCCCTGGAAAGTAAAATATGAATTATCAGTTTGATGCTGTCTGAACAGATGTGGATATGCATGGTATGTTGCTGTAATCTAATAAACTAATGTATGGCAAACCACTGCATGGAATACATATGGACAAGACCATGTGGCAGCATCCACATACCTTTTTCTGTTTCAAGTACCAAGAAATCTTCTATGGGGTAGCATGTTCTATAAGTCTGTATTATTTCTCTAGAATATTCCTCCTGTTTTATTAACACTTGACAGCACATGACACTTGTGCATGTGCCCAATACTCTTAGGGAATCTCTTCATCTATAGCCATACATGCTTATTTAGCCATTTGAATTGTTTGACTTGTTTAGTCTTACCCTTGTTAGCTTCTTGCAAACATTTGCAGATTTGGCTGAGATCGCAAAATTTTTGGGTATTACAACTACCATAGACACAGAAGCCATTCAAGTAAGTTGTTGTCTTACCATTCTAATTTGTTTTCATTTTGAATGAGAAACTATAGCCTAGCATAATAAACTTGGAATTTGTAACCATTTTATCTTATCAAAGAAATAGAATTTAGAATTCTTTAAAGTTTCAACTCTATGAGAAATTTTGTATTTGATAACTTCATTTTGATTTTGGGCTGTTGCAGAGAAGTTTGGTGTTTTTATTATTTTCAAGTTTGGTACAGATGTTCTTAGTATTTCATCATAATATTGAAGAAATTCCAAAACAGGACAGAAATGGTATTCGAATTGAGAGTTTTAATTATCACTCTAATTAATGAAAGTTTAAGTTATTGGTAAAAAAGAGAGTTTTAATCCATGTAAATGTTTATATTACTAGCTTAATTTCAGCACATAACATGTGGTTTTGGTTGTGATAAAATTGATGGTTGTCTTCAGTGCATCTGGAGTAAATATCTCAGTTCAAGATTGTACCTGTAAGGATTACTTCCTGTGATATTGACCATTTAAGGGAGAAACTTAAGTTTTGGCGCACAAGATCCATAGAACATTCTGGGGCCTCATACTTTGCCATCTATGTATTGTTTAGAGGATCAGACTCATCATTAAATGGGTGCTATGATGGAGAGGTGTACCAAAGATCAGCTTGGAGCTGGTTGCAATTGTGCTTATACTATACCTATTTGGACAGTGTAAAACGTTATATACAGCCCTCGGAAAACTGTATCAAGTTCTTTACCTTCTGAAAAAGAAATGAAAAGGTCCAAAAAGTAGAACATAAATCAGATGGTTAGAAACTCATTTAATGATGCTGATTTTTATAAGCACTTTCTTAAGTGTAATTGTACAATGGTGAGTTCTGAAGTTCCGATGTTCTGGATATAAAAGACAGGGTGAGTTATTGGCATTGCCTGACTGCAAATCTGCAATTTTGGGTCCTAGTACCAGACCCAAGACAGAGGGTGGGCCTTAGCACAGCGCTTGCATTACTCCATTGCCACCTGGGCGACCAGGGTTCAAATCTTGGAATCAGCCTCTCTGTATGTGCAGGGGTAGGCTGTGTGCATCTGCCGCCCCTACCCAGACCCTGCATTGGTGGGCACTGGGCTGCCCTTTTAAGTACCAGACCCAAGACAGTCCCTATTTATAATACTCTGGCCTGTTGGTATATACTGGCTTGTTATTCTAATGGTGCCTTATTGAAGATAATTTTTTTTTTTGACCAACAACACAAAAAATTTCATTAATTATGTGAGAAACATGATTACAACAAGAAGTTGTGAAAGGAACCAGCTATATAAACTGTCCCAATTTTGTACTACATTTGAGCCCAAAACATATGTGTTCTATGTACCCCTTGCTTGGCTAAGCTATCTGCCAAGCTATTAACAGTCCTCCTCACCCATTTCACTTGGATTAACATTTCCTGTGACAGCCATTTGAGTTTTCTGAATTCATTCCTCAAATGCCATGCCACCCCTTCCCCTTTAACCAGCCACTTAATCAGTATTAGAATCTCCCTCAATAATCAGCCTTCTAATACCCAGTTCTTTTGCCTTCTCATCCCCAAAAGCTGCATCCAAAAACTCTGATCTTGCCACATCACCCTGCTCCACAGGGCCAGAGTATAAAGCAATTATGTTCCCCTCTTCATCCCTAATGACTCCCCCAATACCTGAGGGCCCTGGGTTACCCAAACAGCTCCCATCAAAATTCAGTTTCTTCCAACCATTTATTGGAGGAGACCAAACCTCAACAGATCTTTGTCTTGTAGTTGAGGATGCAGCGATGGTACTCCAAACTCTGAAGAAATCTTCAATCTTGAAATCCGAAAACAGCTTCAAACTTTTTGCCCAATGAGCTACCCTCTCAATGTTATAGTTTCTACCAAAGCTTCCTTGCTTTGTTCCTTCTCTTCAACTATTCTTGCATTTCTTTCCTCCCTCACAGTCCAAATTAGTGCTGCTCTAGTGCATCTCCACAAGGTCCTACCCCTCTTTTTTGTACAGCTAATGCTAGTAGGGCTAAACAAATCCTCCAACCTATCAGGAGAAGACCACCTGCATCCAAAGAGAGAAGTAAACCAATCCCAAATAAAGCTAATAAATGAGTAAGAGATAAGAAGATGAATCACAGTCTCACCATTCAACTTGCAACGAACACACCAGTTGGGGGACAAACACCAGTTAGGTCTCTTCCTTTGAAGTAAATCAAAGGTATTAACGCTTCCATGAAACACTTCCCAGCAGAAGACACTAATTTTAGGGGGAATGGGAGGACACCAGACTTCCTTAACTGGGAAAGAATAGGAAGAAGAGGTGGCAACCAGAGAACGAAAGGACTTTCAAGAGAAATCCCCCACATAATTAGGACCCCATATTCTAGAATCCGAGCCACCTTCACACAAGAAAACTGAATTCAACAAGCTCAAAAGATCAGTCATCATAGAAAGTTCAGATTCTCTAAGGTTTCTAATGAAGCCAAAATTCCAATTCAATCCTGTAGAGAAGTGATGCTGAGTAAGGAAGTCAGAGATGGGCCTACCCTTAAACCTGGAAATATCAAAGAGAGAAGGGAATTTAATACCTAGAGGAGTATCCCCAATCCACACATCCTCCCAAAACCTGATTTTTTGACCAGTGGCCAAGTCATACCTGATATGATGTAAGAAGGTAGGAAGATAATCATGGATGGCCTTCCATGGGGCAGCCAAGGTAGCTCTACGAAGACATCCTGCATCCCACCCATTTCTTGTGCCTTATTGAAGATATGGTAGACCGGAATCCATCCCAATGTGATGGCGCTAGTCATTTAGCAATTTTTGTACTTTTAGATTAACGGTCCATTAGACCTGTTTATGGGCTGGGCTTGGGCTTGGCTTTTGCCAAAATTTGAATGGGCCCAGCCCGAAGCCCGGCCCATGAACAGGTCTAGGGTCCATTACTTGGTGCAATGGTAAAATCCCAGGCCGGCAAGTATGAGAACATGGGTTCGAGTCTGAGGGCAACCACTTTGTGAGAAAAAATGCCAAGGGTTAGGACCGTACCCAGTCTACCCCTCCCAAGATCCTAGATAGCTGGGACCAACATTGGGTAATGGCCCAGAAACATTAGTAGACATAGAATGCAAAGTAACATTTGTCAGCATATAATCTTATTGCCATCTTTGATGGAGGTTTGGGTGACTTCCTTTCTTTGTTGGATTTCCTTGGGTATGTATTTTTATTTAAAATTCTTGGATTTCTACTCTGGACCAATAGGGGTGGGAGATTCTCTAAGAGCTGAAGTACTGGTCCTCCTTCAAAGATTGAGATTTGCTAAACAGATGGGAGTTGGGACTCCAAGGGGATCCAAGCTGGTAATAGGTTGGATGCAAGCAAACAACTTAGGAATTTGGACCCACAAGCAGATTGTGATGGAAATAAAGTGTCTATCAAGGGGTATGTATTTTTATTTAAAATTGTTGGCTCTCTACTCTGGACCAATAGGAGTGGGAGATTCTCCAAGAGCTGAAGTAATGTTTCTCCTTCGAAGATTGAGATTGGCTAAACAGATGGGACTCCAAGGGGGATCCACAGGCAGATTGTGATGGAAATAAAGTATCTATCAAGGGGGATTGGTGTAACTTCTAGATGGGTTAGAAGGACAATAAATGGATTGGCTGACACCTTAGCTAAATAAGGGGTTACTAGGGAAGATCTCTTTTGGGCTATGTTGTAATTGTTATTGTCTGTTGGATGAAAAGTTTGGAAATCTTCAATGACTACAGTATGGATATTTTTTTAGAGGTTGGGGAGTAATAGTGGCTTCCTCTTCTCAGAAAGCAACAGTGCAAGAGGAGTGGGTTCTGCCTAGAAATAATGGAATCAAACTGAATTTTGATGGCAGCTCTTTTGGAAATCCAGGCCCTTTGGGTATAGGAATCATCAGAGATTGTAGGGTGCAGTTTTGGCACTTTTTTCTGCCCTTTTGCATGGACTAAAGATAGAAAAGCTTTTGATTTTGAGACATTTAGAAGTGGAAGGTGACTCCTTGCCAGTGATAAGTTGGATTGTTAACAATAGTGATGGGCCATGGCTTTTCAGACGAGTAAGGGAAGGAGGCTAGTAGGTGAGGTTTAGGCTAAACTTAAATGGATCAAGAGGTCAGCAAATACAATGGCAGATACACTGGCAAAGCAAGGGGTGCATAAGGAACATTTGTTCCCAACCCCATATAGTTGGGACAAGGCTTAGATTATTATTGTTATTTAATGGTGAATACATACTAGTACTTATCCTGCATATTCTAATTAATGTATGAATTCATCCTTCTTGTTTCTGATAAAAAAATGGTGAATACATACTACAGGGACGGGGTAGCTATGAAGATCGCTGTGAAATGCTTCGCCTTATTGTAGATCTTGTGGAAGCAAGTTGCTATGCTGATAATCCAGAATGGAGGTCAGATTATCTTAGTTGATAATTTCCTCCTTGTTCACATCTTATTCTTCAAATTGAAATGGAGAAACATTATTAACTTGATTTTGGTTTGTTTTCTGCTTTCTTTTTTAGTGTTGATGAGCAAGTGGCAAAGGACATACAATTAGTAGATGCCATTGCTGAGAAACAGGCCCAAATTTTCTCTGAGGAATGCAAACTATTTCCTGCAGATGTGCAAATTCAATCAATATTTCAGCCGTAAGCATTTTTACCGTTTTCATTATCTATTTTCTCACTGATCGATCAAAAGAAAAATGTCCATTTATTCATTGTAAAGATAATCAATTAATTTGCAGCAAGAAGTTTAAGAAAACAAGAGATGACTAAACTAGAACACAGCAGTAAAAATTAGACTAGATGCAAGGCAATATGTAAATTTTGCCCTTCCTAGACCAGTTAAACCTAGTTCTTTGGGACTGGAGACCCTTTCCCTAGGTTCTTCCCTCCATACATCAGGACCAGGAGCCATTGGTTAAAAGGCTTTACAAACCCCAAGTTTGTTCCTGGAGAGCCACGTTAAGTTTACATGAGCAAGGGGATTCTCTACTTTCTCTTCATAGATAATTGGGATAAAGTAAATTGTATCATTCCTGGGTGGGGCAGTGTTTTTAAAGGGGTGCCTCAGGTGTTCTTAAGGGGTCATAGGTGAGGCTGATTTTGTGGGGGTGTGCCTTGCCTACTCCTAGGTGTTCCTTAGTTGGTTTGTATTGTATTTTGATAATTTTTTTATATAATTCTGATAAATTATTAGCCTTGACTTTTATGTTGAATAGGCTATTTACTTGATGGTAATAGGCAAAACCTTTATTAAAAGAAAAGGAGGGATACAATCATATGGTATGGTGACGAGACTTCGCTAAACAAAGAAAACGGAATCAAGAGAAGCTGCTACAGTAATCATTATAACTCCAACTTCATAGTAGTGATTAACTTATTTCACCATGGCCTGTTTATATCCAAGAAGGATGCTTAATATTTTTTTGTTTGTCTATCATAAGTTGAGAGAGTGGGCCTTGGCCCAACAGTTGGGTTGCACCATTGCAACCTGGGTGACCAGGATTCAAATCTTGGAAACAGCCTCTCTGTGTATCTGCAGGGTTAAGGCTGTGTACTCCCTCGCTAGACCCTGCATTGGCGGGAGTCTCATGCACTGGGTCTATACTTGGTAGAAGTCCTGTATTTGAATGTAGGGTTACAAATGGGTTGGATCAAATTGGATATATCATATACCTAGATCCAAATTTGATCCATTAATATTTGGACTCAAATTGAACCTTATCCGCTGGATTCAGGTTGGACTTGGATTGAATTTGGATATTGGATACCACTAATAAATTAAACTAAAAGGTGATAAGAAAATTATATAGTATTAACAGAACATAGTATATGTCATGAAAAAAAAATATATAGTAGTAGAAGTAATAAAATTTATCAAAAAAATATGGTAGTAATAAAATGAACTAGAAATGTCAAGTGACTTTCATGTTATATATCATGAATGAAATGATCTAAATTCTAAAAGTAACTTCTATGAGATTTCCAAACATGATTCTTAGTAAAACAAATACATCCAAACCGGATTGTACATTCCCATTTTGCCAGAACCTTAGTGTTCAGGGCTGCTAACTTTCTTGCATCTATTAATGAATCCATACTTTCAAAAAAACTTATGTAGATATGTGCATATATCATTGGATTCAGATTGAATCAGATAGGATTGGGGTGGAACCATATTCAATCTAATCAATAAGCAAATTGAAATTGGATCACCTTAATTAGATTGGATTTTGAATTTCAGTTCAGAAAAATGGGTATTGTTTGCACCTTATTTAAATGAGTAAACAAGCACACTATGGTTGTACCTTACCATAATGGTTGTGACTTATTGTTCCTTTAATCAAAGTCCATTTGCAGGCCAGATGTTTCTGAACTGGAGTTAAACCTTTCAGAACAATCAAAGAAGCTGTTGAATCTTCAACAGATGGTCGATGATTTGGCATCAAAGGTTTGCTTGGAGTCCTTAGCTGCTACTTATTTGATTATTTATTGCTTCCTCAAATTCTACCCCAACCGCACCCCACACACATGCACCAAAAAAAACTTTAAAATGAAAATTGCAGTGACCATTTTAAATGAATATATCTACAATATAATTACACTAAATGAGATTATTCTTTTATTATTAATATCTTTTTTTTGTTTCGATCAGTCTCTTAGAAGAACATGTTAAGATATTTAATAGTTCTGGTCTCAATTGTAAGGGAGTTTTGTCTGTATGATGGGGAGAAGTTTTCTTATACCTGACATGAGTTTTCTGGATCTGGAGTTAGTAAGTATTTTAGACAGATTTCAAGTGTCCCCTGATCTACCTATTTTGGTCATTAATGTAGGAGACTGATAGTTTTCAATGTGCGATATCTATAGCTGGACTTTGGCTTTTGGCCCATGGTGGCAGAATCTCCATGCTAGTGGTTTTGTGGTTCATGTGCTGTTAGGGATTTATCATCATTGTTTTTTTTTTTTTTTTTTTTTGGTATATTAGGCAGATTGTGGATTTGTAGCCTTGTTATCCTCTTTCACTCTATGTATGTATGTATGTATCTGTCTATCTATGAGGCAATCATTTATAATATTATTAAATGGGATGAGCAAAACTATCCTCAAGAAATCAGGATGCAAGTAATTGCCTCATCCTGCACTCTAGGTATTGAAGTATATACATGTATAAGGGATCCAAATTTTTTATCCTTGTACTAAACAAGTTTATATACCATACTATGTTTGTGTGGTTCTTCCATTTGCTCATGCATGTGGAAAATATCTAACTTTAGTTGTTTAACTTCTCCCTTGTACATAACTAATGAATACTCTTTAATTTTTTATACATGTATAAGGAACACTCTTTAATTTCATTTTTGTTTAATTGTTTTCCATTCCTTTCTTTTTCCTGTCTCCATTGTTAATTATGCTTGCTCTCTCTCTTGTGGCATAGCATGCTTACAACCCAGATGAGGACTATGCAGAGGTGGAGTCAAAACTTCGTGCTCATTTGGAATCCTTTCTAGAAACTGCAAGATCGTTCAATTTAATTTACACCAAGGTACTGGCATAAACTCATCTAAACCTTGTCAGATTTTGACAAGTGCAGTTATAATTATCTATTAAAATTTGATTGAATTCTAAGATGAGATTGCCATATTAACTGATCGGCTTTCTCTGATAGTATTCCTTGCTAAAAACTACAAAGAAACAGATGCTTTCTTGTGCTAAAGGTTATATATTTGCACAATCAATTGAAGAATAGTGTCCCAATGTTGGTCCCAGCTATTTGGGGTCTTGGGAGGGGTAGACTGGATGATGTGCCTATTTTTTTATTTATTTTCATGCTATATTTTAATTATCTATAAAAAAAGGTTCACTTAAGGCAGTTCTGATGCTACTTAGTTGAATATATTTAAGTTTTATTCATTTATCTTATGCTATTTTGTTGATACTTTACTCGGTTAGTTTCAATTCTTTAATTGGAAGCCTTTTGCAATTCACCTGTTTACAAGATTCATATATGTATAGGAAATTCGTCCTTGGACACACATGATGGAGGTACCACAGTTGCATGGGTTTGGGCCAGCTGCCAACCGCTTGTTAGAAGCTTATAAAATGCTTTTAAAGGTATGCCCATCCTGAACCTTCTTTTTGTTTGTTTAGTTTCAAAAGATACCCAGTTTGCTCTTGTTTGAACATTGGATCTACCAAATGAATCAAATTCAACAAGTTTCTCTAAAATATAAAAGCATATGTAGACCTGGAGGTGGATGGAAAATAAATTGTCAATTGGATAATTGTTGAAGACATTTTTAACTTCTTAATTTTACATCTGGTTCTGTTATGTTGTCTGGTCAATGTTATCAAGGCATGACTAATTGTCAATTTGTCAACCAACCAGTCAGTGGAAAGCTCTACTAACTGTATCACTTACTAGTTGGTCAATACCTATATCATTTGTTATATGCAATGCTAGTTGCTTTAAGCATTTTAGGTACTGCATGGTTGGGTCATTGGACTATCTGGGGTCTTAGGAGCGTGGACTGGATAGAACCTAACCTTTGGCATTTTATTGTATGGAATGACCACTCTCATATTCAAATCCATGTTCTCGTGCTTGTTAGCCCAAGATTTTACCATTGCACTAAGTTATAGCCCCTTGGTTGTACATGGTTTAATGATCATAAATTTGTTGGGATTGTGTCTTGAATTTCATGGAAAGTCTTACCCCTAGACATCCAGTATGTTTCAGAGTTCGTTCAATCTCTATGGGAGATACAGTTCCAATACATGGTGCCTGTGAAACCCTTGTCTAGCTAATGCATCTGCTAACTGAAATCAGAAAGGCAACCTGAGTGCATGGCAAAGTTTGGCAACCAGCAGGATGATGGCAAACCCTGAAGGTGGAAGCCAAAATGTTTGTGATTGAGGAAACAAAGGTCAGATAAATCAGGAAGGCAACAGTGCTACGGGTAAGCAATGGAATATCTTGGTTTAAGGATTTTGTGGAGGGAGCTATCTCCTTAGGTAGGAAGCTGAAATGGAGGATTATGAAGGAAGCTGGGGGAAGAAGATATGTTGCAGAGCAAAGAGTAAATAGCAAAGGAAGGTTCCTAGATACTTTGGGGAAGGGAGGAAGCAAATGGTGTGTTTTCCCGAAGGGAGGAGAGCCACAGGTTGGAGAGAGGTTTTGATTTTCTCTCAGAAGTCAGAACTTCTTGATGGTACTGGGCTGAAAATCGAGGTGAAGAACTGCTAAAAAACAGTTACAGTTGAATAGGAGTATGAAGGAGGTTAATGAAGAGGAGGTTTGATTGACGATGACGAGTTACTCTGGGCTGTCGACGATTTCAATCAACTAGAGTAAAGGGTTTTGGAGCAGCACCTAGTGATGCCTGTAAAGCAAAGTATAATGGATTGGAGAAAAATATTCATTTAGAAGAGAAAAAGGTGAAAGGAACTTTTGTTATAACCCTGTTTGACAAAGATATGGAGCTGCTGGATCTAACAGAAGGTAAGTGAGAGATTGTTGCTGCAACAGTAATGTCTAATGAAGGGCTGAAGGCTAGATCTCGATTTCAAAATGGTGCCTGATGTCTAATGCAAGATGATTTTCATTTGAAGAAGGCACAGTGATAAGGATATTGGGGTTACAATTCCACCTCTGGATAGAGAACATTATGAGACTAATCACATGTTTGTGTGGAGGAACCCTGGTGGGTGTGTTCCTGAGGGACCTTTACTTAGTGGCCATTAGAACTGAAGGAGCAAAGCATGAGAATGTTCCCAGGAAGATTGAAATTCAGTCAGAAGGTATGGTATATGTGGTTTGGCTCATTACCTCCATGGGTGATACTTTGTGGAGAGATGGGCACAAGGAAGAAGATGCTAATGTGGAGTCTTGAGTGTCATGTGGCAGCCTTAGGGTTGACATTTCAAATGAAGCAAATGCTTGCACGAACAGTGAAGAGTTGGACCTGAGAAAACCAAAAGACTCTTGACAAAATCCTTTAAATGGAGCTTCTTGGTATGTTGGCCCAGATGAGAGGGTTAAAACATTCATGCAGATTGTGACAAGTGGTGCTAACTCCAGAAAAGGTTCAAAGCATTGATATGTGCGTATGGAAGAAGGGTATGTATTGGTACTTTCTACCATAGGCATAACTTTTTTTTAGTTTTTTTTTTCAAAATTAGGGCAGGGATACGTTTAAACATTGTTTAACATATAAAACCAATGGTTTTGGGATTAGCCTTAAAAGAGGCATATCGGCCACCTGCCGATACGATATAGGGCACATCATGTCAAAATTTTGAACCTTGGCTCTAAGTAACCACAGAGAGACAGGTGGTAGTGTGCCCAGGAAGGAAAAGATGATGGAGCTTATTACTATTTTGAATGCAGAGACATGGAAACATTGTGGCACTTTTCTCAGGACCGGTAGGGGAGGATATTCTATTAGGGCTGAACTGCTTGCTTGTACTGGTTGGAAACCCTAATAATTGAAGGAGATTCTAAGGTGGTGGTAGGATGGCTGCAAGATCCAGACTCTATCATATGGTGCTTTAGGGATGAAATTAAGAAATTCAAGTGTTATGCAAGAAATATGAATTTAAGATTACAGTGGGTTAAGAGATCAGGGATTTGTTGTACTGGGCTCAATTGTAATCTGATTCCTTATTTAGTTTGTATTTACCTATGTTATGGAAGAGGTTGCAGCTCGTGCCTCTCCAAGGGTTGCTTGTACTGGTTTTAATCTCTTGATAATAATAAATCAATCATTTGTAAAAAAAAAAAATGTTATTTTGAATACCTTTAGCAAGGGGGAACCAAATGGTTAAATTAAGTCACCTGATCGCTTATTGAACCATGTGACTGCTATTGGACCTTGCCCAGTTGAATATTTAATTACCTCGAGACGCTTAAATGGGCATGCTAAGGTTACGACACGTGACGACATAAGCAATCGCGTGGCTTTCAGGATCAAAAGATTGCTGCTTGACAATTGTAGCAGTGTATCTTCGTTCAGTTACATCCCTTGACAATTGGGAGGTAGAAAGGAGCAACGATAATTGGGTGCAAAAAGAACCAAGTTATTGGATATTCATAATGAAAAGAAAAGGATTAAATGGTTAACTCAGAATATGGAAGTGAGAGTTCAGTGGGTGAAAAGATTTGCAAATTCATTTGCAGATTCTCTTGCTAGGTAGGAGACAGATAGAACTCATCTATTTTGGCCACAATTGTAATTGTTTCTTATAATTTCTGCTTCTGGGGAGAGATAAGAGAGGTTATCTCTTCCCTTTTTTTTTCATTTGATGTAATCTTTTTAATTAATAAATGAAATGTCCAGTTATTGATAAAAAATAGGGTAATTTTGGACTAGTGACCAAGACTAGTTTCCTACTCCACCAGCCCAGGGTGGCCAAAGTAAAGATGAGGAATGTGAACTCGACCCAGACTGGATTAACTATGAAGAGAAGAACGAAGAGGAAGAACAATTTGAGAATCTAGTATTGGGAGCATGGAGAGCAAATGCAAGACAATGTGGAGTTGGAACCAGTTTACTATTCAATGAATAGATGCTTGCCTCAAAATTGAAGTGACAAAAGAGCTTGGGAAGGGAGGGTACCCATTTGGGTGAACACTCAGACAGAAGGGGAGATCTAGGTTCAAAGCCAAATATAAGGTATCTGTAGGCCGTGTAAGGTCAATTGCCTTGGAAATGAGAAATGATCCTGAATGGAGTGTAGTTCTAAGTTAGGTTCTGATACCACAATACCACATTTGCATAAAAACTAATCTATCTTTGATGCATGAGAAGGTGGCTATATCTTAGCAATTTGTTTTTACCTGTTGCTGGAAGCAAAAGAAAACAAAAAGGGAAACTGACAACAGCTTCACCATCTTGTGGTTGAATTAATTACTTCTTCAGATTAATCATATTAGTGTATATGTATCACTTCTGGTATTTGTTCTAGGAAATTATTGAGAAGTCTGGTGTCTCAGTTCTTGACCTAAAGTTGGAGTTGGTATTGAATCTTTTGAATTTAGGGTGTAGGCAGTTTGAATTTGAGGTGGATGGTGGGCTGCTGTTTCATAGATGGATGGTTAAGCCATAGGGTTTTGGAGGGGAGAGGAATTTCTGAGATCCTCTTTAGTCGAGGGTTGGTTGCTGATGTTGTCTTTGAGTTGGTAATGATTCTAGTTTTGGTTTTTGAGCTTGTTCATGCTCTTTGTTTTTAGTTTAGAGATAGCTTAATTGTGAGTCATTTTGGGTGGTATTGTCAAGGGGGGAGGTCTTGTGGACCTTTACTTTTGTTTTTACTGCTTGGTGATTTCTTATTACCTCATCTTGTACTTCATTTTCCTATTATTACTGAATTTTCTTTTATTATAAAAGAACCAGTTCTTTTAATCTAAAGTTTTCTTCAATTTTATATATGTTTTGGGACTTTGCAAGATGTGGAGTACAAATTCTCAGTGACAGAAAACTCACTTTTTTGTTCTGTATCTAATGACAGTTCCTGTCAAACCTGAGGAACCTTCGAGATTCACATGCGGCGTTGGCCATTGGATCTTCTGACTCAGCAACAAATGAGCCTTCTTCTGTCACAAGAATAATTGCTGAGTGCGAGTCTGCGTTAACATTTCTGAATCGTGATCTTGGGATCCTTTCGGCTTCTGTTGCTCGAGAGCGAGGTGAGGAAGCCCCACTGAGATGATTGTGATGTTCTTGGAACACAAGAGAGAACGTTTAGTTTGTGAATGATTGAATGCGAATGTTGATTGTTTGCTCAGTTAACCATGAGCTATCATACTGAAATTTCTGTTGGCTCAAGGAACAAAGGTAGATTGTTATGAAGAGCTTACTTTAAGTGGGGGATCTTTCTAGACAGGACATTTACACTAGATCCAGACTCCACGAGTTCAGATCTGGTAGGCACACTTGGTGTGCACTGAGCACATTGCCTTCTAGTCAAGGTTCAAAGTATTGGAAACGCCAAGTGTATCGGAAAGGCAATTTTAAGAGACATATTGGGATACGCCTTGGATATGCATGCGTATCAGAGAAAAACTAAGATACGCTTGGAAACACTATAAATATTTTAATAAATTATAAAAATACATCAATAACACAATATAAGACCTCAATGAGGTGTATATACATTAAATTAATATATTTTAATGGTTTTATGAAGAAATATATTATAGTTAATTATAATTTCATTAAAAATCCTATGCTTAATTATAATTTATAAATTATAATTCTAAAGTTTTATTGTTTTATGGGATGGGAAAAACTCAACTCTCCTATCCAACCATAAAACATATATTGGCACAAATTTTAAGTGAAAATATAATCAATAATTATTTATTATTTATTATTTATTTCTAAAAATTATAAAAAATAAATAAACATTATAAAATATATTCAAAAAATAGTTACTAAAGAAGAAATTTCAATTGGTCTATGGATATGATAAATCATCCATAGAATTATAATATATTTAGTTGTTGTGGTCAAATGATAAAATATAATTATTTATTATTTATTTTTTAATTTTAAAAATATAAAAATAATAAATAATAATTATTAAATAAGAAATTCCAATTGGTCTATGGATATGATAGATCATCCATAGAATTATAATATATTCAATTGTTGTGATCAAATGATAAAATATCATTAATTATTATTTATTTTTTAATTCTAAAAATATAAAAAATAAAAAAAATACTAAAGAAGAAATTTTAATTGCTCTATGGATATGATAGATAAATCCATAGATCTAAAACATATTTAGTTTTTATAGGCAAAGAAAAATTACATTTTCAAATTTTTTATTAATTTATATTTTTCCTAAATATCTTCATGAAATTTCCATAAATTTATTAATAACACAAAAAATATTGTGATTTTGAATGTAGATCAACATAAATTTAAACATTCAAGAAAAAAAGAAATCACAAGATATTATAAAAAATTGAAAAAAGTTACCTATTTTTGCCATATTTTTTTAAAATTTGAAAAATTTTCAAAAAAAATAATGATTCACACTTGTTTCTTGCAAATCTAGCACTTTAGGAATGATGTTTGGAGTTTTAAAGTCATTTGGGGTGAAAGAAGGTTTATTTCAGGGAAAAAAAACTTGCTTTTTTCTTTTTTTTTCAGTTTTTGGCTATATCTTTTTCGTCGATGCGCTATCGATATGTCCCCAATACGGGTCCGATATGCATGAAAAAAAGATGAGACATCTGATTTCCATGCATATCCGGTATCGGATGTATTGTATCTAAATTTTAAACATTGCTTCTAGGTTAAGTCCTTAATGGCTGAAGCTGAAGTTGAACAGATTACTATGCCTTTTGAATGTTTTATTATTAATTATGCCTTTTGAATGTTTTATTATTAATTATGCCTTTTGAATGTTTTATTATTAATTATNTATGCCTTTTGAATGTTTTATTATTAATTATGCCTTTTGAATGTTTTATTATTAATTATGCCTTTTGAATGTTTTATTATTAATTATTCTATCTACTAAAAGACAAAACAAAACTTGTTGTGTGCTTAGTGTGCTAAATGAGTATGCCTACCAGATTCGGACTCCTCAAAAACCTCTAGATTTTGTCAAATATTTAGCTTTGATCCATGTCAATCTTGCATATTTCATTTTTCAAAAACAACTCCAATAGGACAACATCAAAAGAGAAAGAAGCCATGGAGTCTTGATTGCATTTGATCTTGGTTTGAAATATTTAGGGCTCTTCATAAGAAGGCCCAACCCGACCAACCCGAACCAACCCAACCCGAGTCGGCCAGGTTTTCATCAGCACCGGTCGGTTTTGGGTTGGGTAAAATCATAAACCGATAAGTTCGGTAGTTCCTAGTTTCCTACTTAGCTAGTCTTCTACTAGAATTAGAACAGCCCTATCTTATAGTTCTTACTTAACTAAATTGTATCTATCTTAATTTCTAGTCTTTTACACCAAATAAGCAACTCATTGGGCAATTACAATTAGAATTAAGTGTCTTTCTAGTTCTAGGCTTCTCTATCATTTTTGTATAGGAGCAAAACCGAAACCGACCGAAACCGATCCAACCCGATTCAAACCGACCAGGTCGGTTTTGCCTATCATTGGGCCGGTTTCGGTTTCCACCTCATGTAACCCGACTTGGTCAGGTCGGTTGGGAAAACCCCTGTAAACCAACCCAACCTGACCCGTGAACAGCCCTAGAAATATTGATATGCTCGATACCCACGAATAGGAGTATTGGGTGTTTCCGTGTATGCAATACTTTCATAATCATAATTTTTTATATTTTTTTAATTTTTTTTCAAAATTATTTAAGGGGGTCGTTTTTAGGCTTATCTATCTCCTAAAAGTGGCCAAATTCCGAAATACCCTTTATTTAGGGTTTCAGGAAGCTACCGATACAATATGATATTGCCCTAAATTTTGAACCTTGCATTTGATCAAGAAATCTGAACCTGAAAATTAATAATGTTATGACCAAAGAGGAATATTTTTGAGGTTAATTACCGGGTAGCCCAACAGGCTGGCCCATTGGACAATGATTCAAATCCGATCCGATCTATTTGGGGATTTGGTTAATTCAATTTTGGTTTATTCACCCCTACATAAGGTTTTCAAATAGTCTATGTAGAAGTCCGTATGTCTCCCAGCAGTAGGTAAACAACATTTGTGTGGTACTTAAAAAAAAAAAAATCGTTGATGTTGAAATTGGCATGGTTTTCAAAACTGGATTGGACCGGATAGTCGGACCAGAAAACCAAGAATTGGTCAGGTGACTAGTTTCGTTTTCCTCAAAAACCGGATTTTCGCTCAAAACCATTGATTTTGGTTAGTGAACTACTAAATCAGGTGGTTAATCATTCGAACAGTTTTGATCATTTTTATTTTTTTGAATTTCTTTTATTTTTTTTGTCAAAATAGGCCGAGCGTATGATTCGAACAGGCGGACCGTTCGACCCGATAACCGGACCCCTGACTGGTTTGGTCACCGGATTGGTTTTAAAAACCATGGAAATTGGCTATGAAAAACTCCCTTGTTTTTGCTTCTTCTGTGGTAAGATTGGGTATGAGATGGAGACTTGAAAATCTTCTCCTAGGGTTGCATTTGTTTGTGATACAAACATCTAACAGGGGTATTTATGTACTCCAATTCATGGGGTATTTATGTACTCCAATTTGTGTTTGCAAGCATTTGGTTGTCGTACAAAAACACAATGATTAAGATGTCAAAATTGTATTTTCTTACACCTTTGTATTGTGAGAAGAGCAGGTTACTATACCTATTATTTGGATACAAACTTGTGATCTTCTTATAATTACTGCTTTTGACCAACAATTAAAGACATTTAATGGTGGGATGGGAAAGAGGTGGGATTATAGATCCCAATTCTTGGGATGTGGAATCCCACCATTAAGGTGGGAAACAAGTGGGTATGTAGGGAGAAATTCGTTTAACAAAAAAAAAAAAAAAAACCTTCCTCTTAGTATTTCTAAGAGTTAATATTAGACCTATGACTCATAGATAAATTATTAATTATTTAATAACATGTTAATAAAATAATTTAATAAATAAATTAAAATAAATAATTATTGAAATAATTAATCAAAAAGAATCTAATAAATAATTTTAAAATATTAATAAAATTATAGGTATTAATAAAAATAATATTAATAATAAAATATAAACTAATACAAATTAAAATATTAAATAATGATAATTATTAATAAATGAAGAATTAATTTTAAATGATTAATATCTAATTAAAAATAAAGCACTAAATATAAAAAAGTATTGTTAACTATTTAATAATTAACAACAAAATAGTTAATAATTCACTAACCAAGTAATGAATGAATAAATAAATAATGATTTATTAATATAATAAATAATTAAGTAAATACTAAATTCAAATATTTAATAATACAAAATAAAATTATTAATTACTTCATAGAAAATATTATTAAAATAAAATTTAAAATATTAATAATTAATTAGCTAAGTATCAATATTAATTAATTAATAAAGTATTAATAATTAATAGTAAACTATAAAATAATAAAATATTACTAATTAATTAATTAATAATTATTATTAGAGTTGATTTTCCCACTATTTCCCTTTTGAAATCAAACAATGGAACATGAAAAATTCACTCTGGCTCCTTAGTTTCCTAATCCTTTTCTTAGGAAAATGGACCCTACATCACCTATGAACATTAGAAGACTTGAGCTCTTCACCTACCCCCTTCAAAGAAATGTGGTCACTAGTTCTAATTACAGCAAAGACCGAGCCTCCATCTTTGAGAGCCAAACTGGCTCGATCCCCCATAGTTGGCACCCCGACCTCTTTCCCAAAGGGCTGGTTATCCCTCAACTTGCTGGTTACACTCTAATACCACCTTAAGAACCTCAACCAACTCTATAACCTTTTTGGAGTTTTGTCCCCTCTCTCCTCCACTTGCCCTTTTATTTTCTCCACCTCTTGTGATGCAACCACTATTGAAGTTACCAAATTGCCCCCATCTTCTTCCTTGATCTAACCTTTCAATGCCTCTGTCCCTTCTACCATTGTTCCTTGTGTCTTGACCCCAACTGCAACTATTTCCAAAGAATTGCTCAAACCCTCGACATCCTTAGCATTGAATAAGTAAAGAGACATTGAATCCTCCGCTTCTACTAAGATCTTCAAGCTATAAATTTCCCCTGCAAACTCAAACTCAAGAATAGATAAAATACTGCTCAAATCGAAGACCTCAATCAACAACCTTGAGACATCGATCTTCTCCTGAGTCCTCCTATTTCCATCATCTAGCTTCAGGAGATTCATGTAACAATTTGCAATTGTCCTAAAGAT